CTTTCTCGTGCTCTTTCACCCTATTCAGCTTTATTTTTCAGTTTACGGCTTTGGTGGAACACCAGATGCGACTTGATCGCAATCTGAACCAAAAGCCCTTTGTTCACCATATGTATATATATTGTATTTAGTTTTACTTTCTCCAATGTGAACATATTTGGTGTCCAATAAATGTATTATTATATTATTATTATTATTATTTCACTTGAACTGAACTGAATCAGTTCACATGCATTGTACATAATGAAAGTCATTTGAAAGAACGATTCAGTTCAGTTCTAGTGAAATATCTCACTTAGTTCAGATTGAAAGAATATCACTATTGTCAGCACATGGTGTTCGACATTCAACAGTTCCAGTTGGATGTGACGTTAAGATTTCAAAAGATACGACGTGACGTAGAACTGTGTCAATGTCAGAACGACATGTGTTCACTGTCAATGGTCAATATTATTTTGAAAAGTGCGGTCAATTCAAATTCAAAAGAAAACCCAACCGTTTGCTTTCTATTATATTAGTTTCCTTATACTTGTTATGATTTAGGAATAATGAATTGAGCTAATCATAATCTCAATCTCTCTGACAATGTGGACGGACTGATCTGATCTATTTCTCTCATCTAAAATATGACAACTAGAACAATTACAGAAATGTCGTTTCGGCACATCGAGGATCACTTAATTTACATTAGTCAAAAGGTACAGAACGGAATGATATCACAATGAATGACATCCACTTCGGATAAGAAAGACAACATGAAAATAATATTAAAAAAACTAGCGACCTGTAGTAAATTGTTCTCCTATTCTTGAATTATTGCTAAATCTTTCTGGAAACGCTTCAGTGGAATATTTTGTAAAATTCCATGACAAAAATTCTTCCTACAGACACTTCTAGTTCATTTTTGAATCTGAACAATTCATTATCTATCAGGTGAATAGCCTACAAACTTATCTTCTTAGGGTTTTAGTTCGGAAACTATAGAGTATGTACATAGGATTTGTATGTTGCATTTTCATTTGATATTGACATTCCACTCAAGGCCTATGAACATAATCAACAACTTAATCTCTGACCCAGTGACCAACTACAATCGAGTGGGAACATATCTGGTTGAAAACATATTTTCACAACCTGAAATCATGAATCTGACAGAGATAAAGTATTACATTGGTAAACTTATGGAAGGAAACATGATTTCTGTCAGCAATAATCTCGTTATGTTGTTGAATTTAGGTTGCGGGAATTCCGCATAAGAAGTTCGTTCGCGACATAAAGATTATCACTCTAGTGGCAGAATTTGAAGTACGATATTTGCCCGTCAACCAAAATATTTGATATATTAGCAATATTCTTTTTACCTTGTTTCATTCTCACTACTGAGATCAATTGAGTTAGAAGAAGGTGAGACGGATCTGAGTTGTCGATTAAATAAAAAGAAATAGTATATTATTCAACGAGCGCATAATGATGGCTATTACCCACGAAGATGAAAGTTGCAGTACGAGCCGAAGGCGAGTCCTGTAATCATCTGAGTGGGTAATAGCCATTATGTGCGAGTAGAATACTATACTTTATCTACAACTATTCAAATATCAAAGCAACTAGAGTTCATAAATATATCTTTGGAAATAATGAAGGTTATTTTATTGCAAAATCACTTAATCTGATTTGAAATACTCATTTATTTAATCTAACACTTATTGACAGAAATTTCAATCAACGAACAGCTTATAACTTATTTCGATAATTTTGATTGTGAAAATATAATGAACAATGTTGGATCCAACTTTTATTGACAGGAAAAAAGTCGTGCAATTACATATCAGTCAATCTTACCAGGTATTATATGCCATCTCACTTTTCAGTTGTAAAATGAATCATACTATTGCAGATTATTCATTAACTTGCTCCCGCTGTAGCGTTCCCCCACCGCGATGATTAATTGTAGTACCCTGTCTCTAGACGCTACTTATCAACAATGAAGTTCAATGGTTCATAAGTGTGAGTCAAGTGTGAGCCATCTGCAACTGTGCAAGTGTTCATTGTTCCGTGAATCCGTGAGAGTATGGTTTCATTGGTTTCGCATTTCTTGCATTTTCTTTCTCACATTCTAAAGTTAACAAACCTCATTGTCGGATTGGTCACATTGAGTCACGTGAAACATTGTAGGCGCATGCGCATTCGGTGATTGTAATCCTTCGAAAGATTTGGACACTTCTGATTCACATGTCATGTCAAATAAAATGTTCTAAACTAGTAAAATAGACTTTACAGTTCCTCGAAAAACAAACAATTCTACACTGGTTGACAGTACAATCAGAATTACCCTAGGAACAACGTTGTTTTATGGTTATGGTTAGTCATGATGGTAGTCATACTGTTGAGAATGAAAAACAGTGAATTTTAATTTTTCCGGTATTTGTAGAATTGAGGTGATTAAAACTATGATAACCATGTCTTTTGAATTTGCGTGTATTCCACAAACGTTTTGGTAGAACTAGTAGAACGAACACCTACCTAGTTGAATTTGACAAGACGATGGGATGTCAGATTATTACGCCATCCTACTGTCATTATCACTCTTATTACTCGATTCATCACAATAATGTATGTCATTAAATGTTGAAAATCGAGTTAGCAATGTATGAATGACTCCATAGTTGTAGATAAACATTTTTATCTTTCAGGAAGGGCAAGGGATGAAAACATAATCCAACATAATTCAACCAAAATGTAAAATGGCTGAGGAAATTAATGAGGAGCATAGAAATATCATTGTAGTGAGTATTCATAGGATTTAACCTGTGGACTGAAACTTCAAAGCTGAAAGCATGTCAAAATGAAAATATAGCCTCACAATTTTCAGCACAGAATTACTAGAATTAATCCAGTCTCACCTTTTTCTCACTACAACACCAGATGAATAGCAAGCTCAGTTGGGGTGAGGGGGAAGAAATAGCCTCAATAAGGTCTTAAGACAACTCACATCAAACTAAGATAAATGAAACATGTAATACAACTGAGCTATTGAGCTGCACTGAGAATCTTGGTTGATCTCAGTCAAAGTTGGTGAAAAGAATATAACTATTGTGAAAAAACTCATCAGTTGTCTCAATTTCCTGAACTCCCGTCGAAGTGTTGTCACAGAACTTGAAGTTTAATTTTTGGGCAACTTTCAAATTTTGCTATTCCAAAGTCTGAAAATCTTTCTAGTTTTTCTGAATCTACACCACAGAACTCAAAGACCTAGAAGGCTAATGCAAGTGTGAGAAATCGCTGAAATCTGATACAACCAGTGTGGTTACGGCAATGGTGATCATGTGTACATTGTCGGCAACATTGTCAGTTATATATTTTTATACGCAAATCTCATATCCATGCATTAGGATGTAGTTCATATTTCTTATAAAACTTTTTGTAACTGATGATCAACAGCTTCACACTGATATTAATTGAATGGCTAACAAGAGATCGATGAATTATTACGAACTTCTAATTTCTTATGAGTTCATCTCGCAAAGGAAATCTAGGTGAAGGAAGCGTAGATATGTGGAGAGCAGGGGTTAGCAAAAACGGCCCATCGGGGCCTACTTGCTTGGCTACAGCCTCCCCTCCAACTACTACTACTCATCTCGCAACTGTGTAAGAATGTATCTGTCATTTTGTCTGACGTAGACTCAAGATAGAGCCAGATTAGTTTCAGTTTTCAGTGTTTTGCTTTGCGTTAACGTCTTTCGTAAGTGAATTTGGGATTATTGAACAGTTTTGGTATTTTGACAAGTACAGTACTTATTTGCTTCGACATTCATCGACTGATTTGTGTTGTGTTTTCAAAATGAATGATTTGGTGTCAAGATAAAGAACAAATTCCAGGAATGTCATACTTACGTAAAAATACTGATATCCAGTTTTTTTATTTTAGTTTTGTAGTAATGAAATGATTTGACTTTTTCAATATCACGCGGAATTTCATGATTGCTTGGATGATTGCCTTGTTTCGAGATGCCACTGTTGGAAAGTTGTGTCCTGTTCTTTTCAACAACTGCACTATCCAAATTTCGCGAGGTCTCTTTTTTTTCAATTCAATTAACTCATAAACTAAACCCCAAATCGAAATTCCACAAGAGTGCCTTTCTTTCTGAATTGAGCAGGAAATTTGAGAAAATATCTCAATTCTGAAAAATTTGCAGTGGTTTAATAAATAGGGCCGCAAAAGTGAAACAACTCTCCTGTATCTACTCCATCCATAAGTATTTGAAGAGAATTATAGCAAGGAAACAATTTTTAAAACTGGACTTCAGAGGGATGTATCTCCTTTAAAGAGAAAAATATCATAATATGCATGCCGACTTATTTATTGATGAATCATGGTGAATTATTGCTAATATAGCCTGAACCACCCTATATATTAGCTCGCCCATTTCTATTCAATAAAAACTTTGGTTGATGGAAAATACATAACATAACAAATACAAACATTACTCCTAATAAAGAAACATAAAGGTATCCATCATAACAAATATCATATGAATTTTTCACAATGTTTCGCATTTTCAAGAAAGGCACAAACACCTGGCACCTGGTAATCAAACAATTCTGAACCCGCCCCTGGCATGGTCACGTCTCTACTGCGCATGCTCACATTTGCTGTTTGAGCCACTTTAGAGAACACTCGAATAGAAAGATATTGGCCATTGGCCTTCTAGGTCTTCTGTTCTGTTGTAATGACCCGAAATCCAGCCCAGTCACTCATGTACTATATATGAAAATGATTGATATTATTGATAGATACGTTCATTAGATGTCACCTACCTCAGCGAATGTTCTCCAGGCCACTAGCTATGCTGAGCACTTTTTGACCAATACTAAAACTTCAGTTGAACGAAAAGATATCCCAAGTGGAATAACACATAGGCATTAGTGGGGAATTTTGAGAGAAGGGGTTGTGAGACTAAGTAAATGATAGCAACATTTGAGGAATAATAAATTAAACTCACGTTGCAGGGTCTGCTCGCTACAGTAATGCTGCTGCTTCAGGCACATCCGTAGATATCTCACTTGCTGCTCCAGATGGCTCCTTCTGGCATTCAAATTTTGGAAGGACCTCAGCGGCAGAAAAATCGTCTGCCCAGGATTACAATAATCCGTATCCTGCAATCTTTTATCATTGTTCATCCTCGACTGGGTATCAATCTCGGGTTTTTTCACATCCTTATCTTGGTTGTTCTTCTTATAAATGTTCTTGTCGAATTTTCTAGTCCTTTTGGGTCTACAGGGTGTGCAAGGGGTGGAGGTATTATCCAAGCAGGTGGAGCTAGACGAGGTAGAAGGGGCATTTGAGGGGACTTTCGTATTATTAGTGAAATTCCAGTCGACTGGTAGAGATTTGGTATTGACAAAGTTGTCTGAATCGGTATTCGGATTAGCTTGGTGCCAAACCATCGACTGATTGACATATTCCAGATTATTTGGTGGTGGTGATGTGATGTTTGACTGAACATTGAGAGGCATCATCTCTTCAGATTGAATACACGTGTTTTCTACAACGTTGTATGATAAACTTTTCATTTTGTTAAATATTCTAGATTCTTCAGCATTTGCATGAACTTGTATGGAACTTTGTTGTCTTAGAGCTAGTTCAGTTAATTTTTCCTTCAGCAAAGCTATTTCTTCGTCCTTTTTCATCAGCTCCAATCCACTTTCTTCTTTGTACGTCTCGAATTCTTGTTCTAGGTCAGTGAACTGTTTTTCCAAATTATAAGTTTCTTCAATTGTCGGTAAACGATTATCCATGAGTTCTTGATTGGCATATTGTTCTTCATATTCCTTCATCTTCAGTAGCAACTCTCCCAATTTATCACTATTTATTTTTTGTTCGGCATCGAATATTTGGCGTTCATCGTCTACTTTGTTTTGCCAATAATCCTCACATTTCTCATACTCGTTTCTCAGTAATTCAACACAGCTTTCCAACTCACTACATTTTGCGCACAGTTCTCTATTTTCGTTTTCTAATTTAATGACCTTTTCCTCGAACGAGTCCATGAGATTAGCTTGAGAACTAGAATCAATATACTTTTGATCTGATTGCTCACATACTTTCTCTTCAAGATCATCAAAATGATCGTTTTGCCTTGCCGTGAAAAATACCTTCTCTAGATCCTCAGCAACTTTTTTAATGTCATCACAATTCAAATTGTCTTTTTCAATCATTTTCGTCAATGCTCGTTTAACTTCTCTGATTACCATTTCTAGGATTCTTACTCGATTAGATAAACAGTTTGTACTCAAATTGGGTCCAGATTTCTAGAAACAAAATAATATTCAAACAATGTTAGGTCATTCCAGAGCAATTTCAATACTATTTTCTATTGAAATTATTCAACTTCAACGATTTTATATGAATTTGTTGAATAATAATACTTACCCAGACTCCCATGCTGAATTAATGTTATTCAACAAATTATAGAATTGGATTTAGAATTTCTGAATGATTAATATGATTTAATAATTATAATTGAGCCATTCAAACCGACACTTGAATATCACTCTGTATTCGAGAAGCTTCTCCATAAATAAAACAATTTCATAATCAAACGATTTTATTATCAAAGATTAAAATACAAGCTGTGATGAAAGATATTATGGAGAAGCTTCAGAATGACAGCACCAGAGCAAACAAATAAAGCAAAAATAAATGCTTCAGTTACTTAAATTAGTAATACTGATTCAATCACAATTAAAAGAATTTTAAGTAATCATCATTCCATGCTAAATTCCTTCGCTTCTCCCGAAATATTTGACCAATGCAAAATAAAGCTCTGTGCAACCATTCCATTCAAGTATAAAAAAAATATGCTCAATGCTAGCAAAAATAATCTACTATTATGCATAACAAATAAAATTCAAATATAATGTAAATGTTATAAAAAATTAAAATTGAAATAGCAAAATATAATTTCAAAAAAGGACAACCTGAATAACTTCAATGTTTTTCAATTCTTCATGAATACATGCCATTCAAATAGATAATATTTTAAATCAAACAAAAATAATTGAATGTGTACATTGACAGACAAAAAACAGTCAAGAATAATAACATATTTAAGTGTTTTTCGATAAAACAGGCAGTACAGTGCTTTTGAGAAGTAATGAATAAATCAATTTTGAGCCAAAATATCAATTTTTGAGGAATCTCCTTGAACAGGTCGATATTCACTTTCAATTTTACATATATACAGGGTATGTCACGACGAGCTTACACTATCTCTATATCGAGAATCAGTCGAGAGAAATCCATGAAAATACGCATGCTTATATTTTTTCAGAAGTAGCTCTCTTCATTTAAAATATTTTCAGCAATGCAGTGTTACCGCTTCTATCAAAAAGTAGCAGCAACTTTGTTATTTCAAATAGAATACCCTGTATTTTATTGCATTTCTTAGATTCTCCCTGAAGAGCTGATTTCATCGATACATCACACGTGGGGTCTATCGGAAATGATAACAGAGATATGGGGTGTTCAACTATTCATCATCAGCCAAAACGACTCACATGTCCCTATCTCAACTTTTGATTCACTACTAACTGATATTTAATCGGAACAGATACAGGGTGATCAGAATTCTGAATCTTGAACCATCCAGTATTTGTTCTGATTAAATATCTGGAAATAGTGAATCAGAAGTTGAGATAGGGACATGTGAGCCGTTTTGACCGATAATGAATAGTTTCGACACAAAAAATCCAAAAGTTGAAAAATCTCGATTATGAACACCCTATAGTTCTGAAATCTTTTTGGATAGACCCCAAGTGTGATACATAGATGAAATCAGCTCTTCAGGGAGAATCTAAAAATGCGATAGAATACAGGGTGTTCCATTTGAAATATCAATGTTTCTACTACTTTCTAGTAGAAGCGGCAACACTGCATTGTCTAAAATATTTTAAATAGGGGGAGCGTATTCGTAAAGATAGTGTAAGCTCGTCGTGACACACCCTGTATAACGGAAAATTAAATATACAGGGATATTTCCGTTTGAGTAATGACGTCTGCGACAACTTTTCAAATGGAATAGCCTATTATTGAGTTTGAAATTTGGAAATACTAAGCGAAATTCGAAACTATATCACACGTAGGGTCCATATACAGGGTGGCCAACTAAGACTCCAGAGTTCGATTTCTCTGTTGTCTTGAGAGATACAAAAAAATTCAAGAATCAAAATTGAAGTAATAACCGAGCTTCACATTTCAAAATTTCTTTGAAATACACAGGGTGTTCCGTACGGTCACAGCACATCAAAGCTATGTTTTTTTCATTGGAACACCCTATATTTTATTACATTTTTGAATTCTCCCTCAAGATATGATTTCAACGACGTATCATACTTAGGGTCTAGCAGTGAAAGTTACTGACATATAGGGTGTGCAAAATCGAGATTTTCCAAGTTCAGAATTGTTTTCTGTCGAAACTGTTCATTATTCGTCAAAGCGGTTTACATGTCCCTATCTCAACTTTTCACTCACTATCAATTGGTGTTCAATTGAAATTGATACAAGGTGGTCAAACAATCTAAATTTATAATTTGTTTCAATTAAATGTCAATTGAACACCAATTGATAGTGAGTGAAAAGTTGAGATAAGGACATGTAAACCGTTTTGACGAATAATGAACAGTTTCGACAAAAATAATCCTGAACTTGGAAAATCTCGATTTTGCACACCCTATATGTCAGTAACTTTCACTGCTAGACCCTAAGTAAGATACGTCGTTGAAATCAGATCTTCAGGGAGAATTCGAAAATGAAATAAAATATAGGGTGTTCCAATGAAGAAAACATAGCTTTGATGTGCTGTGACCTTACGGAACACCCTGTGTATTTCAAAGAAATTTTGAAATGTGAAGCTCGGTTATCACTTTAATTTGAATGCAAAACTTTTTTTTGTATCTCTCAAGACAACAGAGGTATCGAACTCTGGATTCTTAGTTGGCCACCCTGTACAATCAGTCCGTTGAATTCAGTAAGTACTCTCGTAGAGAAATGGATAAATTCGTAAAAAATCAAAGGAATACATTTTGTAAAGAACGCTTGAAGCCCTCGAATTTTATTTTCATTTGGACATTCTTTCCGATTCAATTGATACATACAGAATGATTCGCGTAGGAGATATGACGTCATCGATATTTTTTATGGGTACCCCATTTTCCATCAAAGGACGCACAGTACATTAACCTTATGTGTGAAGATTCCAAAAATTTAACAATATATAGGGTGTTCCATTTGAAGAAAATGTCGCGGACGTTATTGCTCAATCATGGAACACTCTCTATATTTAAATTTATCTTATAAACGTTCCAGGAGATTCCTCAGGAATGAATAGTTTGTCTTAATATGAATGAGTACAAAGATTATACAAAAAGACAACAATGAACGCTAAAACAAAAATAATTCACTGTTCTGAATAATTTCGAAATATTCTCATTATCTGCTATCGCAGATATTATTCACATTCAGATAAGTTTATATCTTTCCGGCATTCATAACAGAAGATTGCATATTCTTGTAATAATTTATCATTGGGTGACAACCAATTAAAATCAACAGTTTCCAGTGTAGATTTTTCGAAACAGTTATTACATTATTTCAATCAATTCGTTTCAAAATCAGTGAAAATGCCCATGTTACCTCAAAAAATTGATAGTTCTACTGCATCTCAATATCAATTGGAACAATACCCTTTACTTTATTCAAATCTATACCACTGAACCATTATTATATTTTTGTGTCAATATGAAATCACTTTCAACTGTCCTTGACTTTAAAGGATGACAAATGTTAAGTATTCATATTATCTGTGAAAATTGATCAGATAAGGTTTCAATGCAAACTGAAACTGACATTTCATTTCGTGAAGTATTTTGTCGATCAATGTACATACATACATAGCACTAACAAACATGCGATCTGAAACCTCATTGGTCAACAATGAAAAGTTTCTAATCATTTGAACTCACCTCAATCTCACAACTAGGAAGTGCAATGCCATTTTGTATCAAGATTTGCTCCAAAAAGGCTATTTTGGATTGCAACCTCTTGATATTTTCATTTTCTTCTATCGACACTGAATCAACGCAATCTACTTCCGTATCGAAACCACTTTCACTAGACGCAAACGGTATGTCTAGATTTTCTCGTTTGGCATTATGGAATTTCCTTATTTTTCCCAATCTTGGACTACCATCCGCTAGAAAAATATTCGCACTCAGTATTTGACATTCAAGAACTATACTTTCGAATACACCAGATTTTGAATGTGATAATTGATTCTGAATTAAGTTTTTATATTCATATTCGGACTGAAAAATTAGCCATAACAGTCGTAGCACACCCATGAATCATTTTATAGCAGAATATCATCTTATTATTAATCATTCTGAACATAAAAAAAATCGATATCAACGATGATAAGGTTCGAATTATCAACATTCATAATCTTTGCTATCAAAAGAACGCGATTCTCCATAAAAACAAACTAGCACAATGAGATTTTATCTATAGATGTGATGTAATTCTCACAGATATTCACAAGAAATGCATGACCAAGTAAGCCACTTACAATCAGAGGCCACTCAACAGTACTTTCACCATCTTTGTATGTTTCTGTTCGATTTTTTGAAGATGCAACTACTAGCAAACTCATTCCATCAGTTGGTAGATGTTATAACTCTGATTCAAATCTTCGGACTGGTCAGAAGAACATTCAACTGACCTTGATCAGACGAGTTTCTCATTCTTTAACCGGTATGCTAATTCAAAATTTAAACATATATTCTACAAATCAATCAAAAAGTGGGCGACGACTACAAGAAACATTTTTGAAACAGTTTAGTGTCGCAGTAGGATGAAGCAATTAATCTTATTACGAATTGGTGGTACTAAAAAAAATGTCTATGCTGTGAATAATGGGATATCTCAGATGGGATGGATGAATAAGGCATGACAATGGAAAATGATCTTCTTCTGCGAATGTAGTGATAAACATACGCACGTTGAGAACAATAGTGTGATAATAATTCAAAATTCTTCGTTTTGACAAAATCGACTTTGAAAATTTATATTTCTTAATGATGATGATTTTGTCTCTGGTGAACCTCATTCATCGCAAAATAGTTATTTATGATATAAATGCTAAAAGTGACATTTTATATTGTGAGAAGGGAAGTTTGGGACACGACGCCGAAGGCGGAGTGTTGCATCCCTTCGAACAAAATTGTTGATTTATCTTTCTTGACAACTAACGGCAACGAATCCCGAATTATTCTTTCTCGTTTCTTCGTTCGCCGATGGAAAGTGCCCAAGAAAATGAATTTCTTCCGCCGCAAATTGAAGAAGCTGCCAATAAAGCTGTTTTTGAATTATTGCCTAGTAAGTCAAAGCGACAGTACGAGTTTTCATACGAACGTTTCTTGAAATGGTGTGATCAGAAAAATGTCAGTGGGAAGGAAGCCAGTGAAAAAGTGCTTCTTGCATACTTTGAAGAAAAGTCCAAAATATGGAAATCGTCAACGCTTTGGTCGAATTACTTTATGTTAAAGTCGATGATGAACATAAATGATCATGACATAAGCAGATATCACAAGCTTGTGGCTTTTTTGAAGCGAAAGGGTGAAGGATATCGACTGAAAAAGTCAAAAGTATTGACAAGAGAACAAATCGACAAAATATTTAGAAATATCTTAATTACATACATTCACAAGTTTCATTCTAGTTTTGTATTTCTTCTTTTTATTTTTAAGGTCTATCTTCTTGTTGCTATTATTTCAATCTGTCTGCAAAAACTCGTATTACCTACTCCATTTCATTAAGTGCAACGCATGCAATAATGTGACAAATCGAAATATTCCATATTGTCAACATCACAACTCAAAAATTTGTTGCATTTAATTCATAATGACGTGACAACTCGAAAAACTTGAAATTGTGTTTAATCAATAAAGTGACTTAATGACTTGTCACAAAAATGTCTTCAAAGTCAGAATACGAGACGTATCCTGCGAAGTTTAGGCGACAACGCAAAAAGCCACTTTCTTGCTCGGCTGAACTACCTACTTCTCAAGTGAAATAACGTGATAAGCGATGTCACGCAGCAGCTATTGGACCTAGAGATGTCACGATATTCTAGAGGTGTAGAGCTCGAAATTTGCTATCCGACGGTGGTTCTAACTCAAAAATCAACTTTTTTGAGTTGTCACACTATTGTTCTCAACGTGCGTATGATGAAGCCACTGTCTATAATTTTTTCAGAATTTTATGATTTTCTCTCCTTGTTCCTATAAAGAAATGGCTCCGGTTGTGAATTTTTTAATGGCACACAAGATATTGAAAAATTCTTGGATTTTTGAGACAATACAGGGTCGCGCCGATTTCATAGGGACAGAATTGCAATTTCTTGAACGGTAAAAGAAAGAGAGTTGATCAATTTAGACAAAAGTTGCCTGGGTTAGACCTCTTCAATATGCCGTTTTGAGAACTGGAAAAGTTTCAGCCGTTTCTGAAATAAAAAAAGAAACTGAAAATCACTGATTTTGTTTTTATGTTCTTCTTCTTGGTTAATATTAGTGGAAGAAATTTGAAATGTTGTGTCAACAGGTAAATGATCATGACAAAGAAGATTGTCGAAAATATACTATCTTCATTATTCCCAGAGATTTTCTAAGCATTTTTGTTTTTCTTATGGGCACCATATTCAATTTTTAGGTCTTTTAAATCTCACGCAGAGATCGGCACTATTTCAACGACCACTACGATGCTACGATCATTCAAGAAACCCTGTATCTACTTACATAAGTTCGACAAAAAATGCAATGGTCAATAGAACAAAAAGTAAATCAGAAATATTCTTGAAGAGGAATATTCTCAGATTAGGTTTTCTCAATTCAGAATTTCTTTCCACGCCCTGAATGATGAATATCAATTTATCATACATCCAAAAACAGAAATATTCTAATTTTCTTTTCAGTTTAATTAGCACACTTGATTTGATACTGATATGTGTAACCAAATTGGTCAATATATGAGTATTTTTTTCATCATAAATATGTCACAGAAATAATTCTTTCACCATATCTGCGAATAGTGCATGTTTTCTCAGTGTGAGTCAAAGGGTGAAAAGTGTTATCAACGATACATTTTTCTCCGTGTTATTCAAGGTAACGAATTTTGAGCCATCGGACATCAAAAGTGGCATCAAAGCTTTCGCATCTGGAAGTTGGGAAATTGGGTGCCTTCGGTGTAAATTATTAATGCTTATGGCTCAACAATAACAATGAATAATGATTTAATGAATGTATACAGGCTGATTCACGGTGGATAGCACATTAAACGTTTCTGGGGAACGAAACTCGGGATTATTCTGAAAAGTTGGTGCCTTGGATAATTAGTTGTGTTCTATCGACCTAAAATAGTCTCAGCGTTGCGACGTTGCTGCTTATATTGAAAAGTAGCAACAACTTCGAATTTTTCTATGAAACACTCTGTAAAACATTCCATTTTCATATTCTCCCTGAAGAGCTGATTTCATCGATCTATCACACTTGGGGACTGACGGGAATGATAACAAAGATATAGGGTGTGAAAAAATCGAGATTTTTTGTGTTGAAACTATTCATAATTGGTCAAAACAGTTTCCATGTCCCTATCTCAACTTTTTATGTACTATCAATTGATATTCAATTGAAATGGATACAAGGTGGTTAAAAATCTTAATTCTGAGCCACCCTGTATTTATTTCAATTAAATATCAATTGATAGTGAATAAAATGTTGGGATAGGGACATGAAAACCGTTTTGACCAATTATTATGGATAGTTTCGACACAAAAAAATTCTGAAGTTGAAAAATCTCGATTTTTCACATCTTATAACTCTGTCATCATTACAGCTAGACCCCAAGTGTTATAGGTCAATGAAATCAGCTCTTCAAGGATTATCTGAAAATGGAATAATATACAGGGTGTCCTATTTAAAAAATCAAAGTTGTTGCTACTTTTCAATATAAGCGGCAACGTCGCAACACTGAGAATTATTTAGGTCGATAGAACACAACAAATTATCCAAGGCACCAACTTTTCAGAATAATCCTGAGTTGCGTTCTCCAGAAACGTCTAATGTGCCATCCACCGTGAATCAGCCTGTATATATTTATCTGAAAGAAAATGCAAATTCTCAATTTCAGAAGATTTTCTTCTCAAATTGTTACTATGTGTGTTCAATAGACGTGATTCAATGTTCGTCATATAGCCAGTAAAGTAGTTGTTTTCTGTTGAATTTACTGTTAAAGAATTTATATTAATTATAATATGTATCAATTTATTTTTTCATGTTTATAATGTATCTGAGAATAATCCTTTCCAATAAATACTTTCCAGTTGCTTACATGTCATGATGATGAAATCAAAAACACAATCCTGAAAAATTTCTCATTTTTAGATTTAGAATATATCTAGTTAAAGAAACAAGGCGAATGACAGGAGATTATTGTTTGATAATTCTTAACCGCTAGTGGTTCCAGTGATTCTTCAATGTTTTAAATTTATGCCATTGGAGTTTTCAAGATTATTTAAAATATTCAATATAAGATTATTGTTACTGTTAGGTATTGCCTCTATGTAGGAATAAATCTACTGTTTTTGCAATGGATGGTTTCCTTAGTCTTCTACTATTCCATAATAGTTCAAGTTACTGTTTGTTCAAAGCATTCCAATATTCATTTCATGGAAATACATTCATTAATATTATTGATATAACTTCAAAACGAATCTTATATGCTTTTGGTGTTACGCCACTGTTAATGTCTGCACTCGTTCAATGATGGAGTACAGAAACATGACGTTCTCTTATGAAACATATTTGTTCTCATGTTTTTGTTCAGCTGTTCAACAACATGACAAGCGTGTCCTCAATTCCTCACTCTTTGAAGAGCCTAAAATGATATGTTCGAAGCAGTATACTTAAACCCATTCAGAGAATGTTTGGAGCATAATAAAATAGACAGCATACATGCATACATACATTTGAAGTGGTGATGGGTTTATTACTTACTGATATTGAACAAATTGGCGTCCTTGGTAGGAGAATAGTCGCTCCTACGTTTCGCTCCGAGTCCAACGCCTTCACAAATAATCGAAATATTCTCCTCCATGGATTGGTCCAGGGAATTCGGTCCTGCCGTGGGTGTGCTGGAAACTTTCGTCCTCATACATGCTATCTGCCCAGACAAACTTTCGATTTCCGACACCATCTCGTCGTTTTTGTCCTTCAATTGGGAATTCTCCAACTGCAATGCAGACAGTTTGGCCAGTACCATTTGGCTCTCCTCGCGTTCCATCTCCCTATTGGTTTGTTTGTCCGTTTCCAATGATTCTATTTGATGGTTCAATCCGGCTTTGTCTTTTTCCAGATCCGCGATTTTCTCACCCAGTAGCTGATTCTCCTTCTCCATATTGAGTAAATACTTCTGGGCAGCCAAGAGATCATTCTTCAGCTTGGTCACTTCTTGCTCAAGATTATGAATTTTCTCCTCTAGAGCTTGATTCATATTGGACAGCTGTTCTTTATCCTTGGTGAACTGTGCTGTCACTTCTTTCAATATATCAGTATGTCTTTGCTCTAGGAGCTTCACTTGGTTCAAGGTGTTTTGCTCCATTCTAGAATGATTGTCATCAACCTCTTGGGCAAGAAGGGTTGCTCTATTGTTAGCCTCGGAGACATCATATTTGAGCTTCTCCCGTTCTGCTTGCATTTGCTCCAAAATATTCTTGAACGTCTTGATTTCAGATTGATACAGGGTCAAACTAGCTTGCAGTAAGGCTATTTGTGGACTCTGGTATTCGGATCTAGTAACTTCGTTGATACTCTTCATCTGTTTCTCCAGCACCTCAGCCAGTTCCAAAATGCTTATCACTCTGGAATTGAAACCCAGCTCGTGTAGCAATTCTTTGGGCGAGTGTACCCCAACATTTTCCCACATTTCAATCAATATGTCGGTTTTTATCATTCCGTTGCCATCAGGGCCCAAAGTGATGAAGTGGAATGTTTGCGAATCAGGGAACATGTTGTCGGGAGACTGATGAATCACTGGTGTTTCGTTTAAAACCTCGAACCAAGTGTCGTCCTGCTGCAGAATAGCCAACAGTTCCTGGAAACTGATTTTGTGGTTACGATTCACGGACAGTTTGTCCGACAGTTGTCTTATAACACCGTCTGCCAGTTTGTGCAGACCGATAGCGTCACACACTAGTACGAGCTCGTTCTGATTGAGGTAACCGTCCTCGCCTACTCCCAGTTTCTTCCATGCTTCCCGGAGCATCTCTTCAGTGCACACCAGTTCAGGTTCGCACAGCAATACGTGAGAGGTGTTGCTGATCAGCAAATCGTTGCGACCTGGTAGGGAAGTGCACCTTTTCAATTTGTAATTCGTTTTTCTTTTTTTGGAGGACACCTCCGATTGGGAATTGGATCTCTGGACGGTCACAGCATTCGGGGTTTTATTTGAGTTGGAGTCGTTTTGCTCGTTGTATATCGAGTTGATTTCTTCGTTTTTGGGGCGGGATCTCCGACCATACTTCTTCGACCCGTAAACGAATTTAGGTGAAACCTCGCGTTCTGGTGAGGTTTTTAAAGCGTTTTCGCCCAGTTCCTCGGTTTTGGAAGGTTTACTGCTTTCCATGTTACCCAGTAAAGCCAACAGCGCATTCTTGAATTCTGTGAAAGTAATTCTTGAGTGATTATCGTTCATGAGACATTTCACCAATTCGACGCCCTGTTCTTCAAGTTGGAGAGTTTGACAAAGTCGAGTCAGGCACTCCATATCGAGACTGCCGCAACTGTCTTTGTCGTGGCTGTTGAAGACTTTTAGCAGCTGCTGCTCATAGGGGTCTAAGGCATACTGATCCATGATTTTGGTCTGCAATTGAAAACCATTTTCTATAGACCCACATGAAAATAGCCAAAAAAATTTAGCAAACACGTGACCAAATGTGTTGGATCATTCACATTCGGTTTATCAGTAAATTCAAACCATGAGGGATTTATAATCGTACTTTCTCAGCTACCCCTATACCAAGCCCTGAGCAATCAGGGCTTATTCTAATATTATAGTCATAACATGGTATTAGCATCCCCTATATTGTAACATGCTGGAGGCACCAATTAATAAGATCTACCCTATCATACCTACCCCTCAAATATAATCCTGTTGTCTTATCCTTTACAAGGAGACTTGGACCGATTTTATTCAAATTACCTATCTGTTTATTCCAATGTATATTTTGTAAACGTTTTTGAATAAACTTATATTATTATTATTATTATTGACTTTCGTTATAAAGGTGTGTGGTGGGAATATTTCTACCTACATTTTACCTGCATTTACAGATCAGGTTTATTCGATTTTCAAGAATGTTCGAATTGTAGTTTCAATATAAATTTGTGTATTCTATTAAATCGATTAATTATTATGGACCAGGTGTCAGCCCTAATAGCAAATACTGCGCCTATAAGAAAAAGAGATGGAAAACGTTATGTTAGTGAGCATATCAACAATAATAATAGCGATTATTTTTCTCTCCATATTCCACTGTGTTTGACTCGGTAATCAAATGAAACAATATCGTTGTGTGAGACAAATAAAGTATTGCTTGCCGTGATTTAATATGGTGTATTTATATCTCCACCATGGGTAAAATGCCAAATCTGCCGAAATCGGGAACAAATCAGGTATGCGTCTCAACCCAAATAACCAACCGTAACAATGTTGTTTATTTTTGATGATCTAGTACAGGGTATCCCAATTTGGGCACTTTTGCGGGGTATCTCCCTTATCAGTAAAGATAGAGCATTGCGGTTTTCGCGACAGTGTGCTACTTTTTTATGAAATTAATAATGGCGCAAGCAGAATTGTGATAGCTCTTCCGGTTGTCGAGATACAGGGTGGAATTGAAAAATATCACTTTTCAGGCACCCTCCGTGTCTCAGTTATCTTTGAACTTATCGAAGAAGTTAAAACTTGTTTTTATAGAGTTTTTCTCGTAGAATCCAGTGGCGTAGTTATTTTTTTGGTAGCACCTTTTGTTTTTTAGTTATGGAGCAAACATATGTTTTTTTAAATGGAACACCCTGTATATTATTTCATATATACATTGAGCATGAAGTGGGCTTTCCAAAAATATATAATTGTATACAATTATTTTCCATTCAAAAAAACATATGTTCGCTCCATAACTAAAAAACAAAAGGTGCCAGCAAAAAAATAACTACGCCACTGGATTCTACGAGAAAAACTCTATAAAAACAAGTTTTAACTTCTTCGATAAGTTCAAAGATAACTGAGACTGAAAAGTGATATTTTTCAATTCCACCCTGTATCTCGACAACCGGAAGAGCTATCACAATTCTGCTTGCGCCATTATTAATTTCATAAAAAAGTAGCACACTGTCGCGAAAACCGCAATGCTCTATCTTTACTGATAAGGGAGATACCCCGCAAAAGTGCCCAAATTGGGATACCCTGTACATTCTTTTTAGTTTTAGAACTGAAGGTGTTGCCTAGCAACATCCTATGTTTGTGTCAGTAATAGAAACGTCAATTCAAGAGCTGATTTTATCATTAAAATGAACTACTTTTGTAGTTGTTGCAGAAAAAAGTGATTTCTTTTCAAATCTTTGACACCCTGTATCTTGACAATAGTGTATTTCCGGAATCATGTTCACGTGAACTATTCGACTAACACGAAAAATCAACTCTTGAAGTTTGGCCACATACTTAAATAACACCCCGTATTATGACAAAAGTCATCAAATGATACCAAACTCGATAAACCCAACCCCACCTCGATCACCAGGGGCGGGTTACGGGGTCAACTTCTAATTCTTGAATATTCCTCGGATATTTCTTTTAGCACTTTCTCATTTTCTAAACAATTTTACTTAACTTTGATATTTGAAACCAAAAAGGCCATTTGATGATATCAATGAATAATGAATCTTTTGTTATCAGAGCGGCATCTATTACAAATAAAAAAAAATCTCAGATAATGTTTCAGTACAAAGTTTTTGGTTTAGAATGCGAATTCACGATAAAAAGTTAATTGAAGCTTTTAAAGTTAGCCCTCCCCCACCTTTTGCCTGAGGGCAAGAGTAAGAGGACGAGTTTCAACCATTAAATACGGGTTTTTTAATTCTTGATTGGACCCGTATTTCTCGAGATATTCCATCGTTTCAAGACTATGCACACCCTGTTAACATAGGACCTGAAGGATCAGAATTACCTGAACGTACCCTAGCTAATTCTTCATTTTTTCAATATCTACAACTACTTGAAAGGAGTTATGCAAAGAACTTCATTTAAATTATGATTTTCTCCTAATACTGGGTGATTTTCCAAGGTGGGTCATCCATGTAACTTTTTTTATTAATGATTGTAGTAACACGAAATTAGGGGGTTCTGAGTCAAGGTGCATTCGCCATTTTTTGAAATATCTACTCGCTTTGTCGTACTTCCGGTTTGATCGGAACGGACGCCAACTTTCGGTTTTTAAATGAGACACCTTGTATACTATTCCATAATCGGTTACGGTTTGATAGGGTTATTTCAAACGAGTACGAATATATTTGCATTCGACGGCGTAATATCAAAACTTCTTTCTTTGTCATTCTCATTGAGCATATGGAGGCGAATATCTTCGTAATAGTCCGAAATAAACCCGGTATCCTTGAACTCTTTATGACAATCCCTAACCAATTATGAAATTTAACCCATTTAAACATCGAAAGTTGAGGTCATTTCCAGACAAACCAGAAGTACGGTAAAGCAAGTAGATATGTCAAAAAATGGATGAGCCACCTTGAAGAATCACCCGGTATATGGTGCGTGTATGTTGACTTTGTTTTCTTCCTACTTCCTAAATTGCTTTGAAGAAAAAATATCAAGTCAACATAATATCCGTTGTTGACAGCAGAATATTTTATAATATTAAGAACTTTATTGAAAATTGTCTCTCGAGGGAGGAACATTTACAAGCCTTTGTATCATACTACTCTCAAAAATTATTCCATCAAAACTAGTTTTTAAGGAAACTCCTTAGTACTTTGAGTTATCATTTTATACCGGGTGACGAAAAATCTATTAGACAAGCCATAATTCCTAGAGTATTCGGTGTATCAGAATAAAAGTCAATGTACTTATATGGTATGTGAAGAGCGAGGTGAAGAGGAACGTTTTCGCATATTTTTCACTTCCTGGTCACTTCCGGTATTGGATTTTCAAATGGAAAACCCTATATACTATAACATTTTTGAAACTTATCTAAGATCCTCAAGTGATGTCAGAAAATTGTAATTACTAGTTGGCAAAATTACTTTTCCGTGTCTATCTATTATTTTTCAAATAGCACCGATTTTTTGACCAGCACTTTCCGAAAAAGGGATTTGTTGGCTAATCTAACGAAACTATAGCTTATTTGCAATTGCATTGAAAAGAAGAACATAAATTTAATATTACTAAGGCTAAGGATATTTATTTAGTCACATTTGTCAAGTGTGCTAGAATGCTTAATATCTTGCAGTTATTTCCTTCGTTATCATAAATAAAAACTGTCAGATATACACATTTCACTTCGATTGTACAATATTTTGAAAGAGAATTAAACTGAAATTAAACGATAATAAAGAAACTATGAAAGAAAGAAAATGTGAATAAATAAATATTCAGTATATGCTTTAGTAATATTAAATTTATGTAGTAATTTTCAATCCAATCGCAAATAAATAAGTATCCTTAGATTCGTCAAAGGTTGTCATTTGAAAAACAGTAGTTATACACGGAAATGTAATCTTGTCAACTTGTCCTATCTATGACACTAATCACTAAAACTTCGTGATAATAATTTTCTGACATCACCTGGGGACCTTAGATAAGTTCACGTCCGATCATGGCCACCTAGATGCAATATTGAAAGTGACCCTAACAAAATTAAGTAAGCTTAAAAACTTCGGAAAATGTCATATTCTGATCCAGAATTGTATCAGGATTTAAAAAATGTTACAATATACAGGGTGTTCCATTTTGAGTATTCAAAACCGGAGCCATTTCTGATGGAACCGGAAGTGACCAAGAAGTGAAGAAAATGCGAAAACTTTCACATACCATTAAATGTCATTTTGATGAAGGCAATGTTCTAGAAGACATGGCTTGTGTGATAAATTCGCTGACACCCGGTATACCAAATCCAGTTATTAATTTTTCGCCTAGCTAATGAAATTATCTCGGAAATTATCGTATTTAAAATCGAGTACAAATAGAGAAGTATCAAATAATTTGAAAAAAATTAGAAAATGGGCATTTTCGTCATTGAAAAAAGTTTATGAATCAGAGTATCTGATGGATCTTAGCTTTTGAAATATTCAAAGTTAATACACAAATGCATTACCAAATTCAGATCTGTATTTAAAAAAAAAAAATGGTTGGTGATGGTTTCTAGAAGACAAAACAGACAAAATTTGGCAGATGTTCATAATTTCGGTGACAATACATTATGGAATTTTTGTTGAAATTAAAAAAAATGGCTGCTCCAAGATGGCGGACAAGATTTGGTCCGATTCCTTTCAAAATTGGTAAGTGGGGATTTTCGAGGTTGTAGATTATGATTTTTTTGTTAAAATTTATAAATTCAAGATGGCGGCTTCCAAATAATTTTTTGTTTTTGTATAAAATGACGATAACTCCGTTGTTATCAACACAAAACTATTACTGCGACATATAATCTGTAAGAGAAAAATAAGTTATTTGTAACTAAGTCATAGTGAGCTATGACCTACATTTGAAAAACTAAAGTTGGTGCTGATATCTCAAATTCTAGAAGAGTTGGTATAAATTTCATATTTTTTTCGAAATGACTTTGAAAAACTGCCATGAGAATGTGAAACTCCTATTTGAATATTTTCATAAATAAAGAAGTTACGGAGGAGAAATGACAATGACCAAAATCTGTTTTTTGCGTTTGAAACAAAAACGAATAGATTTTATCAAAATATTTTTTCACATTATAGTTGGCCTTGACAAACTCCACATTTGGTGTCATTTAACCGACCTCTCGACCGACCTCGTATCTCTCACCGTTAAAAAGATACCAATGGTGAGCATGGTAAGTGGGACACACTGTATATAGGTACTAATCGGTACTAATGATATGTATAAACCAAAAAAGGAGAAAAATTCATCTGATTCAGATCAAATTAATTTTTTTTATTACTTCTGTCATAACAGTTTGTTTCTTATGTTTAATTTTTTTAGTTGTTTTGTATTTTTGTTGTTCATTTTTACTATTCATTCCTGATTTTTATGTACCCAAATCGTATAAATACTTATGTAACTGCATTTTGTGATATTTGTGGGAATTTTCAAATGGTGAATTAGGAATTTGATTATTTTTTTATGAGAATGTCTGTTTTGTATATGTTTCTATTTTGCTGGAAATAGGTTACTTTTCTGTCTACTAAAGGTACATAATATTTTGACGTCATCCTTTCTTGGAATTTGAATAGCATGAAAGAGACGTGAATTTTTGACAAGGTATTTACCTCGGTATTTACTGATGAAATAACAACTGACCTGGCAACCCTGGTCCGCGCGGAGAGTGAGTTGACAACAACTGTCATTTGCTGTCGTCAAATCAATTATCCATGAAATCCGATAGATTTCACGTCTGAATAGGACCGTGATGTGAATATAAGTGTTTGACGTCAACGAAAAAATGCACCTCGGCGAAAAACTGTATATTGTCTCGCCTGTTTGCTAGCCTCGGCTGAAGCTTTGGCTATCAATTTGCAGATTGGACTATATACAGTGTGACCCACTTCTAATGGAACCACCCCTGTATCTTATGTAATCGTTGGGTAAGGATCCTGAAATTTGCTGGAGCGAGAGATATACCAAAAATGCACTCTATGACCAAGTGGGGGTCATCTTCAGTGATATACACTGCTCGCCAACAGCCATGAAACTACCCCAATTTCCGGAAAATGATATTAGGAGTCAAAATAGGTCGAAAATCACTTCAAATTTGGAATCAGGACGCCCAATTCACTAACTATTCAAATTTTTCCTGGAAAATTTTCAGTTTGGAAAAATGAAATTTTGTCGCATTTTTTATGGAAGCACCCCCGTATCTTACGTAATTATTGAGGAAGAGAAATTCCAAAGATGAAGTCAATTAGGTACGTGAGATACGGGGGGGTGCTTCCATAAAAAATGCGACAAAATTTAATTTTTCCGAACTGAAAATTTCCCAGGAAAAATTTGAAAAGTTAGTAAATTGGGCGTCCTGATTCCAAATCTGAAGTGATTTTCGACCTATTTTGACTCCTAATATCATTGGGGTAGTTTCATGGCTGTTGGCGAGCAGTTTATATCACTGAAGATGACCCCACTTGGTCATAGAGTGCATTTTTGGTATATCTCTCGCTCCAGCAAATTTCAGGATCCTTACCCAACGATTACGTAAGATACAGGGGTGGTTCCATTAGAAGTGGGTCACACTGTATAACCTATAACAATTAGTTTTTCGTCCTTGGTAAATATTTCATGCATTTGTGGCATAACAAAATTATTTTGAACTAGTAGGCTGGTGCCCTATTTTCTATTTAAAATGGGGTTGGAATGTCATGAATTTTATAAAAAAGTCACAAAAGTCCGAATTTCTTAATCAATTCGGAGTTTTTTTAATAAGTTCACTACAAAAATAAAATTTCATTTACATCAACAAAATTAAAAAATGCAAAAAAATGACTTTTTATTTTCTTATGAAAATCCAAAAGCATGAAATAAATAAAGAGCTACTTTAAAGTTCGCAATATTCTGAAGAAATTGCAGCAATTTTGGACAGAATTTTTATTCATATAATTGCCAGGCATGAAAATTCTCAGAAATGTCAAGTTTACTTTGACAAATAAAAGCTCTAGCGTCATAATAAGTGTTGAATTGATGGATTTTCTATTTTTCATGAATAATTTGTATAGTTTATCCAAAGTCAATTGGACCGCACGTGCACTCACTTCAAAAGAGGAACTTCAAACCTGCCGACGCCGCGTGGTGCCAGAAATGTTCCAATTAACTTGAGTGTTAAATAGCCTGCATATTATTATTGCCGAAAATTTCAGTTTGAACTAGTTCAATATAAGGTAATAATGTGCTTTGTTCCCATTGGAGAAAGTTTGAATCAATTCAGGACTAATTTCAAAAAAGTCATTTCAATTAATTAAATATTTAAATCACTGATTTAATTCATGACATTTAATAATAATAATGACAAATATTCATAAACGTCACTGTGTATCACATTGTCAAAGTTTCTTTAATCAATAATAATCAATAATAAAGATAGAATAGAATTTTAACTCCAATATTTTCAGTTTGAACTAGTTCAAATTAAGTATGTAATAATATGTAATATGTAAGGTGTTAATGTGATTTGTTCCCATTGGAGAAAGTTTGAATCAATTCATGAATTTTTTGAAAAAAGTCATTTGAATTAATTAAAGAATTGAATCACTCATTTAATTCATGTGAAGTAATTCCTGCCAATCCTGATTTAAAATAATGACATTTAATAATAATAATGACAAATATTCATAAATGTCACTGTGTATTACATTGTCAAAGTTTCTTTAATCAATATTAATCAATAATAAAGAGAAAATAAAATTTTAACACCAGTTAAGAAGTTTAGGCTCTGGTTTAGGGCATATAATATCTTCTTTAAATGAACTGAGGAACCATATCCCATATTTTTAGCCATCAACAAAATAACACCCTGTACCTATATTGAAAGAAAAAGAAAAAAATAACATTCAACATTATTTATTTGGTGTAGTAGCTTGTGAGTTAAATTCTTGATTGGTTCAACTTAGAAATGATGAACTACCTATACCAGTAGGGTGATGTGATCATATTATTTGGAACTTAGACAGATAATGTGAAAAACTATTTCATGAGTGTATTGGATATAGGTGTATTTTTACCTGGATGTGTTTACTTATATATGTATTGTTTTCATATGATTATGAAATTGTATATTTATTTGAATGTGAATGTTTTTGTCTCCTTTTTACCAGTGTTTGTCAATAAGGTCATGTAGGTATCTTGGAATTCTTGGATAATAAACACATAATCTCTCTAGTACAACCTTTACCTGAAAAATAGGAAAAGGAGAAGATTCCACAAAGACAATTAAGTACAAGAATTCTGAAGAACAGATGAGAAAACCCTGTTAATATACAGGTTAACTGTTTGAAATTGGGGTACAGAACTGGAACATTGAAACTACTATCACTAGTATATGATTATTGGTATTCAACATTATTGTTGGACTAGATCTTGCGAATTTACAGATAAATGAGTTTCTACCTCACAGAAGGTCACAGTATTCTGGAATGCCAAATACTTGACTAGTACAATCTCCAGAACAATGAATACCTACAGTTATTAGTTATTTGAGGGGTGCTTTCATAGTTAACTTTTGAAGTGTATAATATTATGATTTGTAGAAAGGTGGATAGATGTAGGCAGAGGTAGCAACTTTTGAAACAGTGCGAGTTAATTAATTATTAGAAATCAACTGTCTCACCTCTTTATTCTGACCTGGTGGCTCACAAGAAAATAAACAGTTATCATGGGGTTTATCACATTTTGAAATTGAAAATTAGTATGATTATGAATAAATAAAAGATTCACTATGGAAATCGTAGAGCTCAAACATTATAACTTCGTATAATCACCATACAAGTTCTTCACATCACAACATTTTCCAACTTCCAACCAACACCAACCTTCATTTTTCTTTTTATTTCACAACAAAAAAATAGGATCGAAAATGACACGGAACCACATGAGTTCTTGCACGGAACACAGAGAACGTGGAATCTGTCAATCCGTGGAATGAAATAATTTTGGCCGGATAGTCCATAAATCTGAGGCCATACATACGGAGAGAAGAATAAGAAGAGCAGTCGGCAGAGGGCGCCACAGTTTCAAAAACAGTGATGTGGCCTAAAGTTGAAATTGTCATAATATGACAAAAAATGTATAATTTTAAGTTAAATTATTTAATTTTAATTCTTTTCAGTTTTCATACAGTAATATGTGATATATCAGAGAAAAGGATATGCGTCGATGAAAACTGCAAAGGTATGATATTCTGCATTATATTCCTCTCATGTGATGTTCCAATATATAGGTACCCCTGATAATGTGAATATTATGTTCATTTCAGAACCCATTTCGCTGGCAAAAACTCTCTTGAGATATTCTAGTCCTGAACCTGGAGTACTTTCTTTTTCTCCAAATGCAGATGTCACTATATTCAGTAAAGATGTAGACTCAAAAAAGGGCTATTGGGAAGTAGAAATAAATGGAAAAAGAGGCTATGTTCCAAAGACATATATCAGGGAATCCAAAATCTTAAATAAAAACACAATAATCATAAACACTCCACTTGACCAGCAGCATAAGTTGCCTTTGGACACAAGTGGAGATGACCCTAATAAAATATTAGAAAAACCCATTTCCACTGACAAGATTGCCTCAGAGCAGACACAGACTGATATATCTGGTAGGTCACAAACAGACCTAACCCCTGACAATGTGAAGGAACCCTATGAAGTAGTGGATGGTACTACAATATTCTCAGAGCCCTCAGATATAAGTCCTAGCTCTACTGAGGCCCCAGTTCATTCAACATATGTAGTACCTGAAAATAATGAATCAGGTGAGGAAATTTTACATACCTATTTCTTGTTTCCTGTTTTCAGATGTTCAGCTGTTTTTGAGGTGTCATGTTTTCTTAGATTGATATCAGTACCTATATAAGTGATAAAATGGTCAAGAAAATTGTGCATGAACCAATACTAGATTTCTAGATATTTTGCTTAGAGGTTAGAAATTGTTCCATTCAAAATTACAACCACATGCAAATACAAATATTATACTCAGATCTATTCTCAACCATTCAGTTACCATGCAGGTTATTAGATAGGTATATAGTAAGATTAGTTAGAGATTTCAAAGATATGTTATTTTATTGCTCTCACATCACAATCAACATATCCTATTTGTTATATCTTGAGTTTGTTCATTATTCTTTTTTCCAAAGGTTTTTTTACTATACCTATTGATGATTGTTCTATTATTTTTCCCACACCAAATCATTTATTCAATCAAGCAAAGTACTTATTCATGTTATAAAATAGGTACAACATATTTTTGCAATAGGCCTGGAAGCTCAGAAATAACTGTTGAGACATGTTTACAGTATTTGTAGGAAATAGCAAGGGAAATTGTGATTTTATTTATAAATTATATTCAGTCAATTACTCAGATTATTCATTTCTTGATGATGATAAGTTACTGATCTGATTATTTTGTACTTAATTATTGAAAAACTTGTGGTACCTAATAGAGTTATCACACAGGGGTTATTAATCACCAATACATATTATATAACACTAAAATCCTGATAAGAGTCTGAACATATATATGGTCCTTCAGCACCTTTCAGTGCATCCAAAAAATAAATAGATCTAAAGATGAGAAAAAAGAGAAATAACTAAAAAATATTGTAATCATTTGAATATGTTGCATCAAATCAGTTGATATTTAATAATCACAGTAGTAGTTAATTGAATATTTCAATGATATGTAACTAACTGAATACTGGAACTATGTAGTTTTTTCTACAAACCTGAAAAAATCAATAACAAATAATATGTGGAGTGACACTTTTTCATTTTCCTTAGGATATTGTGTCTAAAATAGTGTGCAAAATACAATAGTGCAGGCAATACATATTTTGCTCACTGAGTGGTAACTCTATGAGATTTTTGTTTCTTAAGCTTTATGGTCCTCAATCAAGCAAAAATCCAAGAAATAATGTATTCCTAATTAGCTGACCCCTGCAAATGTTGTTTTACTATAAAGTAGAATATTCATCAGCACACTATTATTATCATCTTATTTTTTACTTCTTTTTAGTTATGCCATAGATTAATTTGTTTAATCTATGGTTATGCTATCTATAAAAGTGTGTTTCTTTAGTTTCTCAAAATACCATGTATATCCTACACTTAAATTTCCCAATCTTGACTAATGAATCATAACCTCCGACTCCATTTTATTTTTTACTTCTTTTTAGTTATGCTATCTATAAAAGTGTGTTTCTTTAGTTTTTCAAAATACCATGTATATCCTACACTTAAATATCCCAATTTTGACTAATGAATCATAATCTCCGACTCCTAAAGCCCTAGATAAAAATTTTGAATGGAATCTGATCATAATTACAAAACTCATCCGCCACATTGGATCCACCATCTTGGATCTGCCATCTTGAATTTCCTCATTTTGACGAAGGAATCATGATTTGCTATCCTGAGAACTCCCACTTACAAATTTTGAATAGAATCGGATTATAATTACAAAACTCGTCCGCCACATTGGATCCGCCATCTTCAATTTCCTAATTTTTATGAAGGAATCATAATTCCTGATCACGAAAATCCCTAGGTACCAATTTTGAATAGAATCTGATTATAATTACAAAACTCGTTCGCCATATTGGTTCCGTCATCTCGAATTTCCAAATTCCGCCCGAGTTTTCAAATTTTTACGAAAAATACCCCCAGATACCAATTTTAAATAGAATCGAATCATAATTACAAAACACGTCCGCCATATTGGATCTGGAATTTCCTAATTTTGACGATGGAATCATAATCTCCGACCCCGAAAACCCCCAGACACCAATTTTGAATAGAATCGGATCATAATTACAAAACTCGTCCGCCATATTGGATCCTCCATCTTGAATCTCCTCATTTTGACGATGGAATCATAATCCCTGATCCCGAAAATCTCTAGATACCAATTTTGAATAGAATCGGTTCATAATTACAAAACTCGTCTGCTATATTGGATCCGCCATCTTGAATTTCCCAATTTTCACGAAAAAAACATTATCTCTGATCTCGAGAACCCCCAGATACCAATTTTGCATAGAAACGGATCATAATCACAAAATCCGCCATATTGGATCCGCCATCTTGAATTTACAGGGATAAAAAGTATCCTATAACAGTCGCCTGGTTCTAAGCTACCTCCCCATCAATTTTCAGCCAAATCGGTTCATTCATTCTCGAGGTATAAATAGTGTAACTAACAAATTCTGGACTTTCTTTTATACAGGGTGATTCAAAAGTAAGCGGCATCCTTTCAGGGAATAGGACACCTCAAAGACAACCTGACATTCTACCCTTTGTATTCCCGCGACTGATTCAGATTGGAAGTTGGCCCATTGTATTGCATTAAGCGAATCATAATAGGCAAAATTAAGATGTTATTGCACGGATATATCTCGCAAACGGCGCGTTCCTCGAAAAAAAATCGAGATGCAGATAATGTTAAATTGAAGGATCACCCTATTTGGTAACTTGGAGATGTTAGAGGCGTAAAACGTCCCCCTGTGGGTTTCAAAAATCTTTGAAATGCCGAGTGAAATGCCTCATTTGATGATCATCTAAAAAGTATTGACCACACCAAATTTCAAATTGATATCATTAGAAGTGAGTGAGATATTTCAATTAAAAGAAAAAAATAATTAATCTTTGACCCCTTATATCTCTGCTACTGATCGAGATCGGACACTCATTTGTTCACACTTTTTCGTATGATGAATGACAATTTATCATACATCCAAAAACAAAATGATGAGATGATCACCCATTTCGGTTTGTACCTTGAAACCTGAATCACCCTGTAGTTTATACAACAATAATGATTAAGGCTTTCTTTAAGCCCGTTTAACATATCAAGCTAAGCATATTACTTATTTTAAAACAAAATTTCCTGATGTTTCTAGAAAAAAAAAATAGTTTGCTGCTCGTGCGCAAAATACTTTGATGAGAGTAGCATTTCGCACACTAGAAACAAAAATAACTATTATGTACTGGTAATACGAAGGTTTATATCAAGATATTTTTGTCTGTCATTAGGCACTGACAATGATGATTACCTAGTTCTATTTCCTATTCAAATTGATAACAACATAATGTTCAATATGTATATTATTCAAGAATGATGATCTACCTATGCATACAAAAACAAATTAGATACATACTGAGGTCAATACAAAACGTGATGAAATAATGAATAGTAGGCCATTTAACATTATTTTTTGTATGCTTAATTTTTTAATTGCCATACAAAAGTCAACAATACAAACTAAATTTACCCTATATCACATATTTCAGTCTATTTAGAATTTAAAACTCAGCAGATATATGCAATAATGCATACAAAATAAAAGAATATATCCAGGACAACCTCAGTTAAAACTATTGAAAACTAGTGAAAATATCAACAACAAATCCGTTCCCGGAACGATACCAATTTATGACATAATTATTTATAAATATGAATATAAATAAAAAAATGGCTATAGTGTCATTTAGAGTATCGAGGATTTTTTTCTCGGTGATATATTATGCATATCCGATAACTTAAAAATCGACTTTGACACATGTCACATGATCACTAGTATGGCAGTAAATTGAAAAAAACTATCGAGAGGCAAAAAGTGGGGTTAGATAGCAAGATATACAATCAAGTAATTGACCATTCTAGAACACGTGATTTTGACACGGTTTCTTGGTGGGCACACAAACTATGTGTTAGGTTACCTTTGATGAACATTGCCCTGCCCACATCCAGAATACAATAAATAACAGATTCACCCAATTCATTTGAGTTCCAACTCGGGTGCCAATGGAAACGATTTGTGAGAGAACCGGCTGCAGATTTCTACCGTCATCTGATAACGAAATAATATATGTCCCAAAGAAATGTAAAAATATTGATCAGTGTGAAACCAGCCACTAGTTCCAGCCACGACTTCGCCTAATATTCCAGGCGCGCCATACCACCAATGGTCGTTCATTATTAGTTTATATTCATGGCTGGCCATGAAATTACTAACACCTCCAAAATATGTCCGTGGATGAAACTATTTTCCATCAATGTATTCCTCTGAGGCTCCTTAATAATCTGTATATCTCACAATAATTTGTCGGACAAGAGTTAACTTCACAGGCCCCCTCTTCGGAATTCCGAAAAAGGGGGCCTGTGGGGTTAATTCCTGCCCGACGTAAAGTCCATAATATGAGAAACATGTTCCTTAGGATCCAATGTTATGAACTTCCACAGATGCATCCTGAAAATAAATTACGAGCTAGTTTTTAATTTTAAAGAGGCGCAAACATACTTTTTTTTTCATTATTAATCAACTAGGTACCTATGAGTTTTCTTATTTTCCTTCAAGGATCAGTATTTTTTGGTAACGAATGCTCAGGAAATGGAAATATACTGGTTACATCTAGTTTCAATAACCTAGCAGTACCTGGTATGTCAAAATGAATAATCAGTTGACAGGAAATGCTCTCCACAAAGCTTGCTGGTTTTAGATGGAGTCCAACTCTCTCTACGAACTGCCTTAATCCATAATTCAAGAATGTCTGAATGGAAAACTGCAACAAATAATATTACTTAATACATAGATCTAAAGTGTGTATCTATGCTTAATATGTTTATGGAAAAGTCATGGAAGTATTTAACTTTGACAAATAATATAGGTATAGTTTTTGAACATATTCTGAGACTGGGAACATTGTACATTGTAGATAAAAGAAAACGTAAACACCAATCCACCATTTAACAACA